GCCTGAAGACAATTGTTGATAGAATAAATACAAGTGATTCATATTTAAACTCCATTGTATGTACAATTAAGTCATATACAATGTTAGTTTAAACCCCAGTCCCAAAACATTGAATACAAATGATTCATATTTGAACGCCAATGTAGATACAATTTATACATAATTAAGATTCATATTTGTATGCCAATATAGACACAATTAAAAGAGAAGATTCGTGTTTAAAAGCCAATGCAGATACAATTAATGCACAATTAAGATTAATACTTGAACGCCAATGTAGATATAGTTAAAACATAGTTAAGATTCATATTAGAATGATAATATAGATACAATTAATGCATAAGATTCATATTTGAACGCTAATAGCGCCCACAGTAAGAGATGAAGGTCGGGGATGGTGAATGAAATCCCCGAATCTCCGAAAAACCTGTTTATAAAGTACAACACTGCACCCGAAATCTCCCATCCTTAAATATTCCCCTTTCATAATTCATGTCCCCAACACTCCCCGCAACAGGTACTTGTTATAACACCGCAAATCTCAGAGGTCAAGCTGGCCCGTGTTCTATCGATGTACAGAACTTTCCCGAGCGTTGAAGGATGGAAATATTTTGTGGGCGACCCTAGTCCCATGATGTCAGGTGCGATTAATTTCCTCTTTTGAAGCAAGCGGACGCCGAGCGATCAAGTTTGTTTGTTGACTCGTTGTCATGGCGACGCTCGGTGTGACGTCAGACAGGAGTGATAACGGAGCGGTTTCTTTACAGAGTTTAATTTGTGTGATAAAACATACCTGCCCTAATATGGAATTATTAGGTTTCAGGCCTTGTCCTTCTATATATTCAGAGTCAATTTAAAGAAATTCGGAAACAAATGCATCTGTATATGTTTCTATTTCGGAACAATAGTATACGTTAAGATCTCTGTATTATCTTCATTTAGTCATCAAATAAGTACTATTGCGTTTTTTAATCAAATATGAGACATTTTATAATATAACTTGACGTAAGATTGACTTTGAGACAAGAGATGAGGATGATTTAATATTCGATCAATGACATGCTATATTTGATTAGCTTGATAAATAATACATAGAAAGATCAAAGCAACGCAAATAAACTTCATTATTCATATTCAATATGACAAAGCCTTTCACAACGACTAAATCAGCTCTAATGTCGATATAAGCTATTTAGTAGTCATTTGTCATAAACCCAGCCGAAAAATGATAGCCTTGAATGCAGTGTATTCTACAATGCATCTGAAATCAAGGAAGGCATTTATCAACATTAGCTACCCGATTCTATTATTATTTCCTCAGCGTAATTATATTTCATCACCAATAAAGAACATTTGGATAGAAAGAAATTCGATGATCGATTATCTTCTTATTACCGAATTATCAAAACGCCAAATTGTGAGTTGAAGAGAGTGATCTTAAATGACATAATTGATGGACAGAGTTTGATAATAGTACCACTTCGACCTATCAAAGAAGTGTAAGCCCAATAATAAAAATAACCGATTTATCATATTCCATGTTTTTGTCTGTTCAAAGTACCAAGAAATAAGGGATTATTTTGTATCAAGACCGAGCGGGTATGGCATATTAATACATGAAACCATTTAAATATTTCATAGCCTATAGGAAAATCAAATGTTCTCTTCTTTGAGATAAAATTTTCTTTGATTCAGTATTACGTTCGTATTCAAATTTATTACTATGACAATACATCAAAAGTGTCATATATAATACAGACTTGTTTAAATGGGAATAAAGTTTGATTCAAATATTCTGAATCAACATAATATTCTCTTGTACTTAATAATGACCGTTAAGTGAAAACAAGCATACTCCCGTTTTAGTACAAATAAACATCATCAAATCACAATAATTAGCATTAAGTTAAAGTTGTATTTGAATATTTAAAAAATAATTATAAGTCATGCTGTTTCTATATATATAATTTTATTATCCTTCCTTTTATTTTCAAATATATTATATTGATGTTTACAAAGGTTTCAAAGTGCAAACTCTTTCCCCTCCATTTGAAACCCCTGGAGAGACCTGATGCCCCGTGCCGCTCTCCTGCTAAGTATTCACCGTGCAAATAAGCCAAATAAACTTGACATTTTTAGCGGGAACTACAGGATCTATCCTATTCGTTGTGTTAATTATTTCAAACAATCAGTTAGGGTGACAGGGTTCATTTCTCATGACAGGTGACGGTTGTGGGTCGTCTCGTTCGACAGGTAACCCACGACCGGCTCCCACACGCGGCAACGTGCACGTACATTTGCCCGACCACACTACTGTGTTTTGAATCGTTCATTGTTTCCTTGTGTAGGCCTCGCCTGGCATCAGCCTTTGTAAACCGGAGCTTTTTAACTTCAAGTGAAACGCTTGTGTCGGTAGAAATTGTTACAGCTATAAGCATAACGGTTCTTTTTAGCTGTTGACTATAGCTATAACTGGCCTTGATCTTGATCAAATATTGGAAAAAACGTCTGTGGATTTCTTTTGCGGTTTTACAATACAATTCAGGTGTGCATCGGGTTAGGTGTCACCTGAAACTGAACCAAGTAATGATTAAATTCAAGGCGCATGCACACATGAAATTACCTTATTCATTAAAAGATTTGAAATTGTTAAATCCAAAGTGAGAAAGCAGTTTGGGTGAATTTAACAACTGTGACGTTAACATACAAACGGTAAAATAACAGAAATAGAAAATATGTTTTACCAGTATGTATATTGCCTAATTATCAATATCTTTAAAAGGTGTGTATAAAAAAACAAAATTACTATGTAAATTATGTATAAACTCCTTAATCGAATTAACCTGTTTTCACATGACAGTGCACGTGAGTCCCATCTCAATTATTTGAGGGGTGGGGAACGGGATAGTGGGGGTGGGGGAATTGGATGGTGGGTGTTGGGATGGATAATAAGCATCTTATGAAGAGGGTTGGGGCAAATTTGGTACAATATGGTTTGTTGACATGGCCGAATACCCCCTGTGTCACAGCAATTGTTGTCGCCTCGAGCCTGTCACCTACACTGTGCCTCCGCTATAATTATGTTGATTCCGATGGTTCGAGAAAAATACCTGCGTTAATTGACACCAGACGAGGAACCCAATGGCACGGGGAGAACCGACAATACCCGAGGACAAACAAACCATGTCTCGCTGGCTGGCAACAATTCGTGGCAGTTGAAGTGAAATGTCATGTTGTCTGACTGGGTGAAATTGCAAGTTGGTAATTAATCTTTCTAAACTGTTCCTGCGGCTCTAAAATTTTCGTGTCACAATTGAATTATATTTTGTTTGTATTTTTATTTTATTATTTTTTTCTAACTTGTAATTTAATCGTAAACTTATAGTTTTCCTTGATAAGGCATGGACGATTAGCAATATCGGGTCATGTTGTATGAAATGATGCATGTTGGCATGGCAATGGGTAAAGGCAACATTGACTCAACATGTGATGATGCAGGGAAACAAAATAGCGACCGTGAGCTACAGAGTTATCTCCCTTCACTTAGCGCGCTCGGCAGGTTACCATGCAAGGTAAACATGAAGTAAACAGGGCACCTTAAAATACAGATGAATCCCGTGAGAAAAGGTGACACATAGGATAACACCATCAATAATAATATCTTGATTTCCTATACAGATGATACAGTCAATATTTTTAGGCATTAGGGATTCGTATTGAATATAATATTTTTCAGTCCATGTTCCCTTGACATCGACAAACAGGACCGACCAAAACAATAGGATAAAACTGAAAAAGTGTTATCGCAAATGAAACATGTTTAAAATATGTCAACGTCAATAAATCTAACAGAGTAATTTTCCTTCATCGTAAAATGTGATAAACCATGATATAGAACCGTGATTAATTTAAATAGCTCTAAAGAAAACACGTACCTGTCAGATAATGATTAATTACAATCAGTGATAATTGCAACTCATAAAGAGTAGTGGTTCGGGGCTGGTCTGCCAAAAATGTTACTTGATTTGACATTTCAAAATAAATAATTTGCGTTTCAAACTTTCATACATGTTTTAAGACTGAAAAAAATTCAAGTCCCCGAAATCCACGTGTTGGGGACGTATTCTATCAGTGTATTTGACACAGTGTACAGTATAATTTAGTACAAGGTTTGGCTCATTAAATGGCGTTGTAACCAGTTTAAAAATAACTTTACAACAATAGTTGTATTTTTGTAACGAATGAAATATCCTTAAACTCTATAAATGTTCCAGTTTAGTTACCATTTTATGGCTATGAGTATATTGTTTCAGATTGTTGACAGTAAAAGAATCCTGTTTCGATGAATAAAACATGTTTTCTGTATGTAAAATAATTTCCTTATTTGTACAATTCACGACATAATAACAATAATTATTAATTCTTGATGAAATACGTATTGAATCTTATCCCCTGAATACCCCCGCACCAAACACCGACACCGTGTGATGAAACCTTCGGTGAAGGATTAAACGTGTGAACACATATGGAAGATATTCCCAAATGACCAACTTTGACATGTGCCGTTTGTAGTTATATGGTCATCTATTAATAGCTACTAATAGAAAGTATCGTACGACTGTAACCACTATCTCTAATATGTGGGATTGCCCGGGAAGCTACCGCTTCCTAGTCCCAAGGGGTCAGAGGTCATTGAATACCATACGTAAACGACGAATGGATTGTGTGGCTATGAGTGAAGTAAGAATAACTACTGTGTGATATATACGTCACACTAAACTGTATGACTAATCGTCTTCCCAACAGCCGAGTGTGTTTGTGTGTATTGTTTCCAGCGCAGGGCCCAGTCACAACCGCTCGCCATATCGCCCGAGCGAGTTCTGCTCCGTTCAGCCTTTGCGGCTGATATATATACAGGACTATTAATAGCAACCAATCGCTGCGTTCGTCGAGAATTTGCCGTGGACTTGGACGAAATTAGAAGACTATAAGATTTTCTGACTTGCAGAAAATACACTCAGTTCAATTTTGATCTAGCAGAAGCAAGGTGATTGTTCTCTGAGAAACTGTTAAAGGAGTTTGATTGAAAACAATGACCCAAGTTTTGGATCCAATGCTGGATACACAATCTCGATTCGGAGGAAACTCACTTATCAAATACGAGGATAATATGGATTTACAAAACGTATGTATTTTATTGCATTTTATCATGTATATAGTCTCATGCTTTTAAATGGCAAACACGTGTGTCATGTTTAGCAACTTTGTTGTATTATAATCAATCAACATGTGACAAGTTTAACTGATGTAAATTTCAAGTGATGGAATGTCATGCATGTATCATGTAACCCATGGATGCAGCAATGTATATTTGTGTGAAACTATTTGGTGGACTATACAAATATGAAACTTGGAGCAGTGAATACTGTAAAACATGTGGTATGCTCCTAGCTGTACTGACAACACACGTGATAACGAGCCCAGTTGACATGTCATATGTGTTCATCGGACCGAGACGTACAGCTGACGAAATCAACATATGTCAATTTCACAGACATTTCCTATGTCGTATAACTACTGTAACTGTATAATGTTATCATGAACCATTACGGTCGTTCTCCTGTGATACGAACCACTGATTAGAGGAATGTATAGTGTAAAGATCTCTTAAGGAAATATATTTCACACACGCAGGGCGAATGTAAATATTTCTTACAAATACTTTTATCCCGGAAAACGTTCATGAAATGTTACGTTAAGCTAAAACAATTTAGCCCACAGGTATAGTTGCTATTGTGAAATAAATATCTCATAATATATGCATGTATGAGGCGATTATGGGTCATATCAGTCAGTAATAGGTATTGAATGTCCTTGGTTTGAAATTAAAACGATCAGATAATTACTTGGTCTGGAAACAAATTAGCCAGGGATGGGTTGGCGGGTTTCCATCGCAGACAAGTCTCGTGACTACTGTCTCACACGAGCTAATTGTATTTCCTTGACCTCGAATGATAGATCTTTGCACGAGCGGTTCTTACGACGGTACCCAATCTCTAATAATCGGATTGCATCCCAGCTGCATGCAACGTACTGTATATAAGTGACCATGTAGATAGATACACCACACAACATACAGACAAGCCCTTCAGACGGACATACTGTTGAACAACACTACGAAATGAACTACCTTCAGTGTGATATTGATCAATTGGTAAGTGACATTATCGTGGTGCAAGTGCCGTGTACTTTGAACAGGTGCTGTCGTATATTACGCTGACTGTTTTAATTGTCTAGTTGTGTCATATATCTTACGGTTGTGTTTGTGTTTTTTCAGACTTGGCAAGATGTAGAGTCTCTGCTGTACCAGGACAACACTCCATATGAGAGCAGCATGGTGCAGATGATGACTGAAGCTATGAAGCCAGCATCCCTGAACACCAACCTCCCGTCCCCAGGGATGACTGCCATTGCGTCCGTCTCTTCTCCCGGGAGCCCGGGGTACGGAAGTATCAAGTCCGCGGCCAGCCCGGTCAGTCAGCTCTCCCCTCAGTCCCAGGATACACAATATGATGAGTTGCTGGATCTGGATTTCATCCTGAATAACACTGCGGCAGAAAACAATCTTTACCCTGAAGATGCTGGGCTGAAGATTAAGCAGGAACCTGGTACCACCTGCGAGCCTTTGCCAGACTTTCATTCCGCATTCCTTGACATCCCAGACATCAAGTTTGATGCCAACGTGCACGTTATTCAGACCAACCAGGCTGAGCCGGTAGCTCATCAAGTTAACGTTGAGGTTAACAAACGCCAAGAATTCAAGCCTGTTATTCCCAAACAGGAATTCCCTCTCGTGCCCAGCTCCTGTGCCACATATACAGCCAGCATGACCGTTATATCCGCTCCACAACACCAGATGGCCTTCCCTGGACAGATCTCTCCCCCAGCTTCCCCAGAACATCGTGAAGATCATCACATGAAGAGCTACCCCATGAATCTCTACCACAACATGGCTCACCCCCACGCCCTGATGCTCCACCCTCAGCACATCATGCCCAAGCTACAAGGGCACATGTCTCAGGTCCATCAGATGATCACTCCACCATCATCTCCACAGCTGGTAGATCTTCTTCTTCCTCAGCAGCCAGTAGACTCATCAGCTCAACCCAAGAAACGAGGCAGACGTACCTGGGGAAGGAAGCGACAGACCAGTCACACGTGTACCCACCCTGGATGCTTGAAGACTTACACCAAGAGCTCACACCTGAAGGCTCACCTCCGGACCCACACGGGGGAGAAGCCTTACCACTGCACCTGGAAGGGGTGTGGGTGGAAATTCGCCCGTTCGGACGAGCTGACCCGTCACTACCGTAAACACACCGGTGATCGCCCATTCCAGTGTCATCTCTGTGAACGTGCCTTCTCCAGAAGCGACCATCTCTCCCTCCATATGAAGCGCCACATATGAACAATCTGATACGCAGTGTTGGATTCAGATTCGCAACAGTCTGAACAGCGCAAGGTTGCAACGGCGAGAGCTCGCAGCAGCTCTCGGGGTCCGGTTGATTTTCTATGCAGCGTCGAGCACCGTGTGCCGGAATCGCCCGAAAAGTGACATTTATTGGGACACTGCTACTCGATATTTTGAACTTTAGGTGACCATTCCCACTGGGGAAATTCACTGTCACATGGGACGCTTTGCATGTATTCTGTGCAGCCGTTCAGGCAGATTTGAACAGCTATTGTTAGGGTGTACTTGTACATCTTGTTAGGATGTATCTGTGACAGGATTTTCTGTCATTTATGCAATATTTTGTTTCGGCTGGTGTCCGATTGTGTGCGGCAGGTCCGTATCAGTCTGGTGCCAAATTTGCATGTTGGAACTTCTCCTTCCCGGACCCCTCAATGATTGGGCTGGCCCAGTTCATTGAGGGGCACGTTGAGGGGTGAGAAAAAGGAATGCTCCCTTACGCCATTCTTCCATTGTATGTGTTGTTATATGCATTTATATATATGTATACGTAAAACTCGTTTTGGCCAGTTATCAAATTGTGTCTCAAACTACGTTTGAATTTTCATTTCGGCCAAAAACCCTTTTGGTACTGCCTGGTAGCAGAATTGTTACAGAAACGAGGTATCTGGCCTGGAGCTGGGTACCGAGATATGGTTCTAGTTCATATAGATTATACACTCGTTAGCTCATCCTTATGACCTTGTATAGTGCCTCGTGCTACTATAGTGTCCATCAGAACGTTCATGTACAATCATATCAGGACAAGTGCAATTTAAATACAAGCTTCGACTAAATTCACAAAGTGAATAGTTCCTTTAAACCTCGACCTTTTCTTCAGTTCCCGCTATTCCACACGATATTAGCAGCTTTATACTAGATAGAATATATGCAAGACTTAATTTCCTCTATTGTTTTGACGACCAGAAGTAGAAGGCTCAAGATGAATATGGTGCTCTGGACTTATCTTTGCTCTGGATCTTATTCGAAAACAAATTCCAATGTCCTGACGAAAATTCTCCAATTATACAATGAACAAAATGTATATAACCGTCAATGGTTTATGCATAGACCCTTGTTATCGGTGCTTGAAATTGTTTCAGATATATATATGATATATATATAAAGTTTGTATTTTTGTAAAAACAGCGATTAACACTAGTCATGTCAGAACGTTCGTGCCATATTGTATATTGGTATGTGCCATCCATGTGCACATGTCTGTCAAAGATATTACATAAACACGAAATAAATGATGTTATTTATTATATATCTGACTTTGTTTCTGATTTACATCTGAATTAGTTTGCTATGAGAACACGAGGCGCAGAATCGATTTGCAGTTAAACTGTAATTCTAGACGAATGTATTAAAGCTGTGCTAAGTTATCTTATTTAAACGAGTTAATAATTGATTGAAAATATGTCTCGTGTTCTCATGTACATTGCCATGACAATACAATTGTCGAATTCAAGGAAAGAAAATGACATGAAAGTTGAAGTAAATAGAAAATTCTTTATTGAATGTAAAATTTACAAAATGCTTGAATTCCGACAACTTTCTTTCAACACTGAAAGTATTGACAATGACAAGCAGTCATACCCAGCTGTTGGTGGTATAAACTGGTGATGTAGAAACAGAGGTCTCAAACACCTTTAGGGCGGTGGGGCAGCCTTGTGGTTTAACGTGAAGGGCGTGTGTGGTGTGGCAAGGGACCTGACCCATCCACTCACTACTGGCACGATAGGTGGTGGGCTAGCTCAAGCGTTCAAGCGTTAGCTCATCACGCCGTGTTCGATTTCCCACATGGGTATAATGTGTGAAGCCCAATTCTGGTATTCCCCGCCGTGATATTGCTGGAATATTGATAAAAGCGGCGTAAAACAACACTCACTCACTCAAACACCTTTGTGTGTTTAGATTAATTACCATTTGATGTAATTCCTCAATTGCATACATCATGCTATGCAGACATGGTAATTATGAAGAAAGCTGGGAGCACGATGGAAAGCAGATGCTCACATTCAGATCATAGACAGATTATGTCTCTTTTTCATTACGAAAAGGAAGTTACAACAGTGGGCAGATAACAACACAATGGTGTTTGAATCACAAGGAAAATCCGGGACAGTTCCTGAATATTTTGAACTATTTACTCAATGCGTTAGAACCACTGCCAAAACAGCAAATAAAAGTGGGCAAAACTTGACAAATATTTCAAACAGTCAGGAATCGCCTCTAATATGGAAAAACAATAAAAAAGTGCCACTTTGAGAGACTCCTTTCATTCGAGATTAAAGTTCACATCGACACACTATATTTGGTTCCCCCCAATAGACACGGGACCTTGAGCGACCCGATTAAATAGACTTAGTCCTGGAACGTTGTCGTGAAAGAGTTCTCTTGGCATTCCTTGCATAAGGATCTTATTGTAAACGGGAGAATATTTCCTGATAGCTGAAATAATGTTGCTTAACCTCGTTCCTATTAAATGTATAGAAAGAAGACAATTTCCCGCAAATTGTGAATTGAAGAGAACGCAAATAAGTATTTCTTGATATTCGCAGCTCTGTTTAAACGTGCAGGTTTTGTATGCTTGGTAAGGGCTACTAAAGAAGACGTATACGCCCTTACTGAAAAAGTTAGAAGGTCTTTTGAAAGGTGGGACGAGGTCAGATTCACCTCAGCTTTAGAATATTAGTGTTAAGCTATAGATATTCAATGTGATTAAATGCATCTTCAAAAATGTATTTTAAAAGTGAATGCATAGTTTTTCGTGTATTTATTTAGAATGAATATATTGCAACCAAACAGAAATATATGTACATGTACTTACAGTTTTTGTGTAGATGACCGAGTTTAGACGAGGGTATGAAAACAATAATCTGAAACGTAGTCCATATGGTTTTTTTCATGTTTACAGGTGTATAAAATCATGAAATAGGCCATAGTGTAAAGTATAACCTCGGTAATATGGACAGCGCTTCCCTTGGAGTATGACGGTTATGTATCCCGTGGTTGCTACTGGGGATTTCTATTTCACTCGTTGAGACAGAACCCAGTCCAGACTTACCAGGTCTTCGTGTGTGTGAATATTGCCAGATGCAGATTGTATGGTTAAAAATACTCCAGAAATAGTTTTGAATATGTACGAAGAGACTTGCTAAGTTACGGCATTGGGTGAGTGAGTGTGGGTGTTTGATGCCATGCATGATAACATATTCCAATTACATTAACACCGTGTGTAAATAACCAAATCCGGACCATTCTAGCTAGTGGTTGAAAGCATGAGAACTCTAGTATATAATGACAACGAAGTCATCGAGGTCACTGTCTGTCTCAGTCCATCCACTTTCGTATGTATGTATGTATGTATGTATGTATGTATGTATGTGTGTATGTATGTGTGTGTATGTATGTGTGTGTATGTATGTATGTATGTATGTATGTATGTATGTATGTATGTATGTATGTATGTATGCGTGTATGTATGTATGTATTTAATGTATGTATGTATGTATGCTTGCATACATGCATGAGTGTATGCTTGTATGCATGCATGTGTATGTATGTATGTAATGTATGTATGTGTGTGTGTGTGTGTGTGTATGTATGTATGTATGTATGTATGTATGTATGTGTGTGTGTGTGTGTGTGTATGTATGTATGTATGTATGTATGTATGTAATGTATGTATGTGTGTGTGTGTGTGTGTGTGTGTGTGTGTGTGTGTGTATGTATGTATGTATGTATGTATGTATGTATGTATGTATGTATGTATGTATGTACGTATGTAATGTATGTATGTATGTACTGTGGTCCACTTATGGTCTATCCAATTCATCATGATTGCACTGTGTTGTATGATATTCCACAAATCATGTTACATCTTATGTGTTTCTTGACGAGCACGATCAAGACTGACTAAGAAATATAATCTAAGGAATAAAAGTAACTTATTATAAAAAGTAAATAAAAAATGAAGAACCAAAAGTAGCCCAGAACACCTTCTGATATACATAGATCCCTACCATTTATTTATTTAAACCCACAAACCTGTATCTACAATGCATAAAAAATAGATAAAACCCAAAAAGCTCAGAATTCATGATTTCCTTAAATCTGTAAATCAGGGTCACCTGCTCTTACGCTTAGATTTATACCATATATCATATAACCTATATCTATAAGATATGAAAAATAAGTGAAACCCGAAAGGAGCCCAAAACAGTCCTCCAGAGTTGGGCCAATCTACACTTGCTAAATCATTCTAGTCTTGAGATGGACACGTTTTAGTTTATTCTCTGTGGTCTGAGAGACAGAATAGCACACAGTGATATGAGACGGTTTCGTTATTTTCTGGCATAAAATGTTCATGTGCGAAATGTTCTTGTTTCGCTTTGCATACTCTCGAACTATGTTGAAAACAACAACCCGATAACGGTTGAAAGCATTGTGTTTAACAGACCATGGTCATTAGAGAACAACACCAAATCTAAGAAATTCGGTGTTACATTTAGCTGTGGTATCATCCATTGTGAACAGGTACATGGCAGCTTCACAATCATTTGTTACACTCTTGATTGATTTTGCATGTAAATATACGTGGCGAAGTATCTTGATCAGGCTGGTAAAAAACGACGCTACTGCGTTTTTCCGAGCCTCTCAAATGTTCCTGCCAAACTGAGAAAAGTAAACAAAACTTTGAATAGTTTTAGTGATTTCTTTAAATCCTTGAAAGGACATTACCTACTTGTACGCTTAACTCTGTACCTTGTATTTATGAAAACCTCGATTATACTGACCCTGTTAATCTGTATATCCTACAATCCGGGCAGTCGTGATCGGAGTGTCTTTATACAGACAATACCGTTACCCTCTGCTCAGTGGAAGCGTCACCATCCGGACTGAAAAGGTTCCGCTGTATCGAATCGCATGTTTACCAGAGAACATATAATTCAAACGTTATTATGATTAAACTAATTCTAATTATTTCTATTTTTTACATTCTTATTTATAAATGTTTAATATCCATTGTTTCAAAGTAATCAAGTAATCGATTGTTATTAATTTGCCCCGCGAGGTTTTTAAAAACTGATTGAAAAGTTACCTCTAAGTAAGCTAATAAACCCGGCTTGACAATGTTCCAATTCCCCTGCTATAGACCTTCAAGGTTATACGGCATGTATAGCATGCGAGAAGGCTGTTATATGGTGCCGTAATTACAGACGAGAGAGAAGGTAAGCCCCGCGCGTTAGTTAAGCTTGTCTGAGGGTCAGTGCCGTATGCGAAGAGATCGTATGAATCATTAGTTTCGCTAGGTATTCCGTGATATCATTTGTCGTGCACATGAGAAGCTAATTTGGCATTGATTTGTGACATCGGAACGTATAACTTGCTGCTGAGACTGGGATGAAATCCGTCTTGCCCTAAATGGTTCTATTTCATCTGTAACGAAGAATACCTTCACGTTTTGACAGTTTATGATTTATTGACACAAGATCAAAGAATGGTACGACTGTCATCAAACTGAATTATTTTCACTAATTGATATGTTTCGCTAATTGATGATTCTTCAAAATGAGATTGATATGTCATATACAACGTGATCTCATTTAGTGGGTTCATTTCATGTTTATTATAATAATTTGTTTCATTTTAGTTGATGATGTGACGGGGCAGTCTGGAAACGTCAACCTTTGGTTGTTGTCCCAATTCTTAGGTCCAAGACGTTACTGTTTTTCGTAATGAAATATACATATTTTCGGTATTTGTTTGATGCATCCCTTAATAAAACTAAACTGAAATATTATAATCTGCTTTTCAGATGACTTCATAATAATTAATCCCAAAACATAATTTATGATGTTTGGGAAAGAGTGAGTGAGTGAGTGAGTGAGTGAGAGAGTTGGGATTTACGCCACTTTTAGCAATATTCCAGCAATATCACGGCAGGGAACACCAGAAATGGGCTTCACACATTGTACCCATGTGGGGAATAGAACCCGGGTCTTCGGCGTAACGAGCGAACGCTTTAACCACTAGGCTACCCCACCGGCCCTACTTGGGAAAGGCAATGTTATGTGAAGAAACACCATTCCTTTGCCCTGATGTTATCAATAAATAGATAGCATTATTGTGTGTGATCGAATCTTTGTCTCTGTGTAATATGACTGCCTATCAACCGCTGGATATAAATCCTAAAATTTGAGTAAGCAGACACATTTCATATAACCTGAACAAAAATGGTTTGAATTGACATTATGGCTAAGCCAAATCCTCCCTAAAGTTGACCCCTCTTTACCAGAAAACGCTAAACCCGTGACATCCGTGGGACCAAAGTCAAATCTTCTCTATCTATCATCATCTGACTCCAGTAGGTTGATGACAATACATTTGATCCTCAAGTAAATCCTGCATTTGAGCCCCATTCTGGCTCTGTTGCATGGTCTGATCCCGAGAAAAAAATGCCTTTTTACCGCTCCTGACCTTGACCTTATTTTTATCCGAGGTTGAAACAAGGCTTACATTAAGTCTTACAAATGAATTCCTTTGTGGAGTGGACGATTAAATCACCTTTTAATATCGTATATGGAAGATATCAGGGATTCGTTTTTGAAGAAATCTCGAGAAATTTCGAATCTAGTGTTTTAGATTCACGTTGAATGTTGGATATATTTTGTTTCAGTGTCTTCAACGCATTTCATTAGAACATTGTCACATGATACATGTGGCATGTGCGTTTTTAAATTTATGTGAGATACACATCATGTCTATTTATTTGTATACTCATGCCAATAATGGTTGTCACCCCTTCAAATTTTTTAATTGGAGAGGGTGTGGGGTGGGGTGTGAGGTGTGTGTGGGGTTGGGTGGGGGAGGGGGTGACAACCATTATTGGCATGAGTATATTTTGTCAGCCTCAGAAGGTATATCACACATGACGTCAACAAAGTTTTGAAGAACGCAGGGTGTTGGAAAAAATTAACACAATTACACACTAACACAAATTGTATTATTAGGTACTGGAATTGTATAGCTGCATTCAAACCAGCGTCAGTTATGCATTGTAAACCTTGGATTTCATCGATACGCTTTAGTGAACAGAAACCTGGAATATCAACTGGATATCTATATTCCACTCAATCATCCCTCCATTCGAGTTTGATTTTCTTAAATTATACCTTTAGTTGATGTTCATCTCTCGGAGGAAAAGCCATTAACGCATAACAATAGCAAATATTGTATTGTATATTTTAATATATAATCCCATAATGCTGACATATACTAATACTCCAATACACCAATACACCAATACACTAATACACCAATACACACCAATACACCAATACACCAATACACTAATACACCAATACACCAATACACCAATACACTAATACACCAATACACCAATACACCAATACACTAATACACCAATACACCAATACACTCCAATACACCAATACAATACCAATACACCAATACACCAAATACACCAACCAATACACCAATACACAATACACCAATACACCAATACACCAATACAACCAATACACCACCAATACACCAATACACCAATACACCAATACACCACCAATGCTCCAATACACCAATACCAATACACCAATACACCTAATACAACCAATACACCAATACACAATACACCAATACACCAATACAATACACCAATACACCAATACACCAATACACCAATACTAATACAATACACTAATACCAACAACCTAATACACCAATACACCAATACACACAACCAATACAATACACCAATACAATACACCAATACAATACACCAATACACCAATACACTAATACACCAATACACCAATACACCAATACACCAATACACCAATACACCAATACACCAATACACTAATACACCAATACACCAATACACCAATACACCAATACACCAATACACCAATACACCAATACACCAATACACTAATACACTAATACACGAGTAAAACAATCAAGAACAGTCCAATAATAAAATGACATTTTTTAATTAACATTTATTGACGTCAGATATCTTTCGGACTCCCTTCAACAAAAAAGACATTATCAAATAGAAGACGTCGATACAGTTCGGCGAAATGAAACAACACAATTTTGTTTGAGCGAAATATACACCAACTCCGAGTAATTAATATCAGCGGGAGTTGGGACGTTGATGGGTAGTACCTGTCTGCTTGTCAAATGACACTGCGTTTCATGTTCATTTCAGAAGTAGATGAAAGACATCACAGCGGTATTGTGAACGAGAGTGATATTTATTTGAATGTCGAATGTTTTGTGCAACCAAAAAACCCATCAGACAAGGGATCCCGTTTGTTTCCCTCTCCACTACCAGTTACTGACAACCTTAATTATATCTTACAAAAAAACAACGGTTTGAGTGTTTAGCTGAAAATAAAAAAACATTTTAAAAAATCAATTAAAACCGTGATGCTGTAACATCCTACTTCGTGCTTGTACGCCTTATCAAATCGCATATTGAATAAATACATGTATATATGTACGTAACTAATATGTAAACATAAATATTAAAACCAACCCTAATAATATATGTTTCAGTTTCGTTAGGCAGATTTATCCAATCATTCAAATATCATATAGATTTAAAAAACAGAATATTGACATAAGTAAGTTTTATGAAATAGACATATGTCATTAGATATTGGATTTGAAGCTTCTATTTATTACACCTAGATGTATTACTAAGTACTATGTAATTCAATTGGGCCAGAACAAACGACCGTCACAAATGTCATAGTCTCACATGTCAACTTTCCTTGCGTCTCCATGTCAACGCAGCCACCCACATCCCAGCCGAAGCTACGTCCCCGGCGCTCCTCCATCTCCAACATACATCACTGGAAAGTAAGTATATGACGTGTATGACAATCAAATATTGTTATTTCTTCTTATTTAACATACAATTCCTCCTTCTTATGCCGTGTTACACTCAGAATTGTTTATGTTCCGTTTGTAATCACCCACCCTACCCGACCATCCCCCCTTTCGATAATTAATAACAGGGCCTTTAGGCAGTGTAGATAAATACGCCATGAAATATAAATATAACACATAAAGTTTTTAAACGAAAGGACCTTACGCTCCATAAAAGTACAAACAGTCTTTCACGCTCATCATTGCAACGGGCAACATCTGCCGTGGCGTGATATTAAAAACATATCTAATAAGTACGATATTGTGGACTGAAAATAGAGTGTGTAATTGTTGACAAGCTTTGGATGGAGGAAGCATTTGGAGAGAGAATGCTCCAAAGACAATCGGGATAGTCAGTTATGAAAGAAACGATTTCATGAAAAATCGTTTGATGACAAGATATCAATTTATTAAATTGTGAAAATGTCTCTGTATGTCTCTTTATGCACTGATAGTTACAATATCACTTTAACTGTTTGCTATTTTTGTTAATTTTTTTTATTTCGGTACAGTGGTGTGGGCCATCAGCACTGCATAGAACATGATCTTTATAAATGTAATATATTACAAAATACTTAATATACTTAGTACATCAAAGCGGAAATTTAAGGCATGGGGTCCATATCAAGTGATACATAGTTTTAAAGGGTACTTATACAAGTACATCAAGGCATGGAAGGTATGACAGTCCATATACAGTAATACATAAATTTACAAGGTACGTATACAAGAGCTTTAAAGCGGAGATTTGAGGCATGGAAAATATCACAGTCCATATACAGTGATTTTACAAGGTACCTATACAAGTACAGGAAGGCAAGGCTAATAATGTGACAAGCAACCAAACAATATCTGATGAACGAAATACATGAATCCGACAATCGTGGAATGAAATGTGATAGTGAGATTTGCGTATAACCAATAATTGATGGATGATTAACCGGAATAAATTAATGGTTCGGTGAAGGGTAGGTTTTCCATAGATTGTTTGATGGGTAAACTGAAAAACTACATATCGGACAGTCAGGTTAGGAAGGTTGCATAGTAGCAAACATAGGCGCGGAAGGTGCTCATTATATCAACCACTGGTATATTTGTCAAGGTCGGAATATTTACAGAACCCCTTCATAACAGTGCAAAATGTTATTCAATTAAACAACAGCCATAGCAACAAGAACACACGTGTATAATAAAAAAATGAGTGTTTGATTATATAATGCTATGAATACTTTTTTCATCGCCATTGATGCTCAGTGGTGATTAAAACAGTATGTAAATAAGATGGCAATACTCTGGCTAGACGTGACATAAGAGTATAAAGCTTAGATCCACCATTCCCCGTTATTACACGTGGCGGGACATGTGTTACCTGTGGTATGACGTAATGCGTTAACATACTCGTGAAGAGTTGAAAACCCTATGCGGGATGTCTGCTGAATTAAAACATTGTTCGTGTAACACCTTGCACAAATGGAGAAGGTTTCAATATCCATGCACAAATACTCTATAATAGATTGATTAGCTGATTGCCAGATGTTACTAAATGTTCTCTGAAATCAGCAACACATGAATGTAAATAATGTTTTTTACGATTTACGAAAAGCAATTTAAGGGAATAATTTGATTTCGGCTCAGTGATGGAAAAGTAGTATCTTTGTTGTAATGACTAATCTTTCGTTATCATGTTTGAACTAATTGTATATCTGTGTCTCGTACGCGTATAATGGGCACCCCACTATCTGCCACCCAACATAATTAACTAATATTATTTTTTGTGGTTGAAATAGGTATCAGTGGTCGTGTATCAAATGTAAGATCGACTGGCCAAATGATAGCCCAGTAATAAACTGCACATGTCCTATATAAAATATCACTTTTCTAACAATCGTGTCCTGTATTTATGTTCTGTACATTAAATGTGTTCACACAGAGAACATTTATATCGGAGTACAGAAACCGAAATTGACTATTGATGACAGATGTTGTAACCATCCCATGGCGATAGCTGTTGGGCTGCTCTTTCAGTTGGTAGAGGGACGGTGGGGAGGCCTAATGGTTAAAGCGTCCGCTCGTCACGCTGAAGACCCGGGTTCGATTCCCCACATGGGTACGATGTGTGAAGCCCATTTCTGTTGCCCCCGCCGTGATATTGCTGGAATATTGCTAAAAGCGGCGTAAAACGAAACTCACTCACGCCTTTCCCCAGGCAAGTATTTGCATAGTTGTAAAGGTGTTAATAACATTCAATTCTTCCAATGCAGATATTTCAGAGGTGAGGCTAAAATCGGTGTAAAACCATACTCACTCACTCTCACTCACTTCAGTTGGTAGGCCTCAGATCACGCCACCAACAATAACGTTCTTGTAGGAATTGTTTATCAGATATCGGAGCTCGAGTGGCCCAGTAGACTAAGGCGCTGGGCAGGGTTGTGTTCCTGGCACATCAGGAACCTATGGTCTTGTTCGAATCCCGGTTTGATTATATTTCTCGGTCTGTATGTACCATACATGTGCTCGTGGGTTCCACCGCGGTAACCGGTTGGGGCGTCAGCCAGCCCTACCAGAGTAAGCAAACGCGTCGTTATATAGCTGTACAACTTCCAACAGGGGCGTTAAACACAACTCACTTAGCATGGCACTTTCAGAAAATTATATATGTAAATATATGCAAAATATACCAGGAAACTCAGGAGTATGTATGGGAGAGTTTTAAGTTACCTCAGCAAATTATATTACAGCAATAAGTAGTATATCATAACGGAAACAGACAATGGGCTTCGCACCATGAGTCTACATGTGAACCAGAAGACGCCTGTCGGTGTGACTAACAAGGCTGTAACCACCATAGTAGTCTGTCTCACAGTCCCTCAACCACATTATTTTACCTAATGCCAAGCAGCCCCTGCAATGCTAAAGCCCTAAATGAAGCAAGTCTAGATTTCCCCAGGTCTGAATCTCTCAACTCACTGGGGCTCCTTTTCACATTCAATGGGTTTATTTGTTACTATCGAAATTCTATATATTCAGGGACTAAGCGTTAGTCTACCTCCATGGTATCCCAACTTTTAGAGACAGTGTGACCAATGTACAAGCATAACAGTGTAGCAACAAGAACCCAACGAAAATAATGGCCAGTTAGACACAGCCTTCATCATATAAGTTGAGATGCTTGATTAATTACGTTTAGTCCGAAGCACTTCTCAATTTATCTTTGAAGCATGAAAACTTTATCAAACGGGAGTATGACATCTCAATTAGTTGCGGGCATTTTCAGCTTTCACACTGTATTCCAGCATCTCACTGTAGCCTGAGATTACCAAGCAAACATTCTACGTCTTTCATGACATTCGGGCTTGTAACTGAGCTCTTTAATAGTTCTAATATGCTCACGGTATATGCCGTGTATCATCTGGTCTGCAGGAGATATTCCAAGGCTTAAGCGTTCCAGGTTTTCAGGGCACATTTACTTTTAGGTTCGACCCTTTTTATGCTCATCCCGAAGGTACCCGATTCTTGACTATGACAAGTCAAATGTCACAACATACCAAATTTGGTGAGACTGCGGTAGGCAACGGTTTGTAAAGAAATTCGACCAGCAGTCTGTTAGAGCAGAAGCTATACGGTGACTCAATGTAGTGTGACTGGTGCTCGTTCTAGAACCGTCGTGACTCAACCTACAGATGGATTCAGCTGACAAACGGCCACGCGACTTTACTCCCTCTTAACCTGTGTTTACTCTGAAACTAGGCGCTGTTGTTACTCCGCCGATTGTAGCGGTTTGAGACTCCAAATATTTTACTCGCTCTCGCGTTATCTTGTTTAACTAATATCTTGTTTCAGTAAGTCTGCCTCAGCGAATCAAATACACTTGGAACGAGAAGATGCTGTAGGTCTAGTTCTCTGGTGGGATGTGTCTGTGTGTGTAGGATGTGTGTCTGCAGCTACGTTTAGGTTTTGTGCTTTGTGCCTGTATTAGAGATCTGTGTATAGGCTCTGTGTCTGTGTCCAGGTTCTGTGTTTGTATGTAGATTCTGTCTCTGTATGTAGGTTCTGTGTCTGAACATAGGTTCCGTGTTTGTGTCTGAGTTCTGTGTCTGTATGGAGGTTTTGTGTTTGTGTTTGGGTTCTGTGTCTGCATAAAGGGTCACTGTGTGTGTGTGTGTGTGTGTGTTTGTGTGTGTGTGTGTAGGTTCTGTGTCTGTATGAAGGTTTTGTGTTTGTGTGTGGATTCTGTGTCTGTATGAAGGTTCTGTGTCTGTATGAAGGTTCTGTGTCTGTATGAAGGTTCTGTGTGTGTGTGTGTGTGTGTGTTTATGAAGGTTCTGTGTCTGTATGAAGGTTCTGTGTCTGTATGAAGGTTGTGTGTGTGTAGGTTGTGTGTGTCTGTATGAAGGTTCTCTCTCTGTGTGTGTGTGCATGTTGAAGGTTGTGTGAAGGTCTGTATGTGTGTGTGTGTGTGTGTGTGTGTAGGTTCTGTGTCTGTATGAAGGTTCTCTCTCCGTGTGTGTGTGTGCATGTTCTTTGTCTGTATGAAGGTGTGTGTGTGTGTGTGTGTAGGTTCTGTGTGTGTGTGAAGGTTCGGTGTCTGTGAAGCTTATGTGTCTGTATGAAGGTTCTGTGTGTGTATGTTCTGTATCTGTATGAACGTTCTTTCTGTGTGTGTATGTTCTGTGCCTGTATGAAGTTTCTCTGTGTGTGTGTGTGTGTAGGTTCTGTGTCTGTATGAAGGTTCTCTGTGTGTGTGTGTGTGTGTATGAAGGTTCTGTGTCTGTATGAAGGTTCTCTGTGTGTGTGTGTGTGTGTGTGTGTAGGTTCTGTGTCTGTATGAAGGTTCTCTGTGTGTGTGTGTGTGTAGGTTCTGTGTCTGTATGAAGCTTCTGTGTGTGAGTGTATGTTCTGTGTGTGTATGGAGGTTCTGTGTGTGTATGTTCTGTGTCTGTATGAAGGTTCTGTGTCTGTGTGTAGGTTCTGTGTCTGTATGAAGGTTCTGTGTCTGTATGAAGGTTTCTGTGTCTGTGTGTAGGTTCTGTTTCTGTATGAAGGTTCTCTGTATGAAGGTTCTGTGTCTGTATGAAGGTTTTCTGTGTGTGTGTAGGTTCTGTGTCTGTATGAAGGTTCTCTGTGTGTAGGTTCTGTTCTGTGTCTGTATGAAGGTTCTCTCTGTGTGTGTGTGTGTGTGTGTGTAGGTTCTGTGTCTGTATGAAGGTTCTCTGTGTGTGTGTGTGTGTAGGTTCTGTGTCTGTATGAAGCTTCTGTGTGTGAGTGTATGTTCTGTGTGTGTATGGAGGTTCTGTGTGTGTATGTTCTGTGTCTGTATGAAGGTTCTGTGTGTGTGTGTATGTTCTGTGTCTGTATGAAGGTTCTGTGTCTGTATGAAGGTTTTCTCTATGTGTGTAGGTTCTGTTTCTGTATGAAGGTTCTCTGTATGAAGGTTCTGTGTCTGTATGAAGGTTTTCTCTATGTGTGTAGGTTCTGTTTCTGTATGAAGGTTCTCTGTGTGTAGGTTCTGTGTCTGTATGTAGGTTCTGTGTGTGTGCAGGCCCTGTGTCTGCATATGCATGCGGATTCTGTGTCTAAATCTTCATTTCGGATTTGTGCCTACATTTGCATGTAGTAAAATGTGTCCTCCAAGTGTACGTTGTCCTCATCTTCATGTATGTCATATGTTTTCATCTGCACTGTGATGAACATCCACATCTACAAATTGGTCCTGTGTCTACACATGCATATTGACTCTATCTACATCTACATGTGGGCTCAGTCATATCATCGACATGTGTCATCAACATCCTCACATTATAGTGTATGTGTGTCCGCGTCTGCATATATCGTCTTTATCTGCGTCTGTCTTCCGTTTGATTCATATTAAACAATGGCATCGCTCTTTACCATTGCCACGCCATGGGTTGGGGCCACGATGGTTGTTTACACCAGGTGTTCTGCATCATTGGATGTATTTGTAAAAGTTCACACCAGGTGACAGGGCACCTGGATGTTGGACGGTTTGAACACCTGGTGTTACGATTGTAGGATAAGTGATTTCGTGATAGTTTATGTATGTTAACATGCCAGGTCTCGAGTTCCCTGTAAGTAACCCAGGTTGGGAGAGCGGGAATCTCATACAGGACTTAAGAACCTCGGCTAGATTTTGAATCACACAGCGTTCGTTGTCAGTCACAATACCCATTTCTGGTGTCCCCCGCCGTGATATTGCTGGAATATTGCTAAAAGCGGCGTAAAACTAAACTCAGTCAGTCAGTCACAATAATTTACTAGTTTCTGTGTTTGTTCTGGTTATCTTGTGGTTACACAGTGGGCAACCACATCGACATTGTGGTTTGATGCTCATGCTACCAGCTATTGGTTTGTCTAGCTCAGACTGCTATTTGATAAGGCATCGTGACACAGCTTCAATATGGCTGACTGTGTCTTAAACAACCTTCACCCCTGTTCTACATGGACGCGTGCATTTCGATGGCGTTTGTAAATCTAAGGAAGCCTCCCTAGTCCGGTGGGCTGTTGATGTCATTCTGGTTGAGCGTAATGACTGAAGTGTCATCACACCCACGCAGTTAGAACGATGTGTCTAGACAGACATACGAGGATTTCTCCAGTACAGATCCTATATTATACAATTATTTATATTTATTTCGTTTTTTAAAATAATGTCACATTGATAGTCTTCGAGGCAAGACATTGTTTACCCACATAACGTAACCAGATACGAAAAGAATATTTTTATAATTTCAGTCTTGAAGACTGATAACAAAATGCAAATTCAGGATGAACTTATTACTAACAAATACGACGTAATTTAGAGGAGGAACACTTTTTATGGACAGACAACTTCTTTATTGCAAAAGATGCGACGTTTCGGTGTAGATTCTAACTGCTTGATACCGGTGTTAGGGTCTACACAACGTCACATCTATTGCAATAGAGAAGTTGTCTGTCCATAAAAAGTGTTCTTTTTCATCATACCTCTTCTAAATGTCACTTAAAGAAGGGACATCTTGATTTGTTTGTGATTACCATTGGTCGGAGGGAGATGTGATTGTGACGATGGCCAGATCTGACTGTGTGGCGTATTGGCCTCTGACATTCAATATAGCATCACTCAGTGTTTACTGTGCAAGCTAAAGGCTTGGGTGTAAACATATACCAGTGGTGATGACTGATTGTGGGAGTTTCATGCTAATGCACACTCCCGTATGTGTACATGGTTGGGTTTTCATATGTTGTTAGATATATGTGATTGGTTTCACGAATTAAAGAACATTCTTTAAACCTGGAGAGAGAATCACATAGTGAGAATCACCACACCCCTAAACACTGCATCTTGTAATGTCAAGTTACAGATGGACATGATGAAGCATTGTTGTGGGGACAATTATGTTCTAATATTCTCACACTCTATATAAATGTTATATAATATATACGACAAATATCTTTCCCAGTGTCTGTATGTATTGGTCAAGCGTCTTTACTTCAAGCTGTGTTGTTTCTTTTTAAAAGCTTCACCGAGAAGTTCAGTGCTGATGGGGCGGTTGGGTGGCCTAGTGGTTAAGCGTTCGCTCGTGACGCCGAGTTCGATTCCCCACATGAGTACAATTTGTGAAACCCATTTCTGGTGTCCCCCGTCGTGTTATTGCTGGAATATTGCTAAAAGCGGCGTAAAACTATACTCACTCACTCTTTGAAATATTGGTAGAAAGGCCATTCTTCATTGTACCTCAAAAGTCGTAAACACCGAAGGATGACATATATTGCTCGACGTGAATGGAAAGCATACTATCTGAAGGTTGAAGTCATGTCTACTTGTCCCTCATGGTATCCCGACAGAGCGGAGAAAGTACTCATGCCATCTACCATTGGTTTGTCTCACAATACAGGGGCGGAGAGGTAGCACGGTGGTTTGCTTCTCACGCTTAAGATGCCAGCTCGATTCCCCATTAGTACATGGTGTGAAGCTTGCTATTCCTACTAGTCTACTACTATATCTACAATGGCCTAAACCCCACTGTCTGATTCTACAATGTACGATAGATTGGAGGAGTGTGTTTGTTTTGCTGACGTCATATGCTGGCATTTACCTCCACACAGTTACAAATGGCGCCATACAATATTCATTGACAGTTACCGAGGCAATGTTGATGTTTAATTACAGCTGATATGATATATACGGAGTACAGAAAGTTTATATGAAACTGTTGATGATATTCTTATTCTTTTTTAATTTTGTGTCATTATCAATAAAAAATGTTCTGTTTCCATTAGATTTGGTACCTCTCAGTCTAGCATTGGTAGGGTTCACCGGTTGTGTTGCCAGGAACACCACCGATCTGAGATTGTGGATACTGCACAAGGCTAAGTTGGTGAGTCTTCACATTCATCTAACAACACTTCCCGGTCATCATTCACTGCGCGTAACGGTAAAGGTGGGTGTGGTGTGGCAAGGGACCTCAACCTACCACTCATTGACGGACCCCTGAAGGTCCGGGTTAGACCATTGATCTTCAGTAACCCATGCTTGTCGTAAGAAGGCGACTAACGGGATCGGGTGGTCAGGCTCGCTGACTTGGTTGACACATGTCATCGGTTCCCAATTGCGCAGATCGATGCTCATGCTGTTGATCACTGGGTTGTCTGGTCCAGACTCGATTATTTACAGACTGGGGCCATATAGCTGGAATATTGCTGAGTGCGGCGTAAAACTAAACTCACTCACTCACTCATTGCTGACACGATAGGTGGTGGGTTAGCCCAAGCGTCCAAGCGTAAGCTCATCATGCAGAAAACCCGGGCTCGTTTCCCCACATGGTTACAATGTGTTAAGCCCATTTCTGGTGTCCTCCGCCGTGATATTGCGAGAATATTGTTTAAAGTGGTGTAAATCAAACTCCTTTCCCTTGGCAAATATTTGCATAGTTGTATTTAAAATCCTTGTTAATAATATTCAATTCTTACAATGCAGATTTTTCAGAGGTGAAGGGTTTACGATAGTTTGTCTTCCAGACCCAAAACAATGATTAGAACATAACCCTGCTCAATTCTAGAATGACTTAGCCTGTCTACTGCGCCTCGGTCTCAGGATTAAAACGATGTTCTGGGCTTCAGTTAGATTTTTGTTTCATTTTACAAGTGTTACTTGTTTTATTTTAGAAGCTTATTTAAATATGATCAATGTATATATGGGACTAAATGAATTCACCGTTATCACATAGCTCTATACACCCCCATGTTCGTATAGTTGTTGACTCACGGTGAATCAGTGACATATTACGAGGGGGGAAGGGGGAGGGCTGCAACAAAGTCAGCCATTAGCGTAAATGACACACACGTCGAGCATTTCCCCTTACAAGCTTGGTTAAGGTCAGCGATTTGAAGTGTCATTCCTCTTGCTTATTTCAGCTGACGTCGATCCATCGTACAATACGAACAGAACGCTGGTATATTTCAGCAATATATCTGTTACGGTCAAATTGTATGTGTCGCTGTGATTGATAAGTTTCAAGCTCCAGTCTCATTCATATTACACAGCTCCGTTGGGAACATTCCCTGGATGGGGGAATAGTGAGTGAATAAAGTTTTACACCGCACTTGCAATATTTTGGCTTTTCGCGAAATTTACATCATTGTGTTCGAGGATACTGTGTCAGTTGATTGTTGTATTACAACTTAACATCAGAAACAAATCCCATTCTAGGCCAGACAAACCAATGGTTGATGACATAACCATCGACTTACGTCATCAGCCTACGATGACATGAAAGATCACCTGACAGATTGTAACCAGCCGATTCTCATGTTAGTCAGCTCTTGGTCGACAAACAGGGCACGTGTAGTGTGTGTAATATAATTGGTGAGCAGGCTATACTTTTTCGATTCAAAGTGAGAATGTATACACCCCTGTTTGATGGTTGAGATCAAAGGTATTACAGCTAGTCTGTCTATGAAGATCCACATAAATTATACCTTTTCTTTTTAGCATCCAATCAGATCCTATTAGATCCTTATTGTACATCTATCTTCATGACTTACGTGCAATTTGTTAATCCAAGTGTACATCTAGTTTCATGACCTATGTGCGATTCATTAATCAAAGTGTACATCTAGTTTCATGACTTATGTGCGATTCATTAATCAAAGTGTACATCTAGTTTCATGACCTATGTGCGATTCATTAATCAAAGTGTACATCTAGTTTCATGACTTATGTGCGATTCATAAATCCAAGTGTACATCTAGTTTCATGACCTATGTGCAATTCATTAATCAAAGTGTTCATCTAGCTTCATGACTTATATGCAATTCATAAATTCAAGTGTACATCAAGTTTCATGACCTATGTGCAATTCATTAATCCAAGTGAACATCTAGCTTCATGCCCTATATGCGATTTGTTAATCCAAGTGTACATCTAGCTTCATGACCTATGTGCGATTCATTAATCCAAGTGTACATCTAGCTTCATGACCTATGTGCGATTCATTAATCCAAGTGTACATCTAGCTTCATGCCCTATGTGCGATTTGTTGCAATTCATTAATTCAAGTGTACATATGTGCGATTTGTTAATCAAGTGTACATCTAGCTTCATGACCTATGTGCGATTCATTAATCCAAGTGTACATCTAGCTTCATGACCTATGTGCGATTCATTAATCCAAGTGTACATCTAGTTTCATGACCTATGTGCGATTTGTTAATCCAAGTGTACATCTAGCTTCATGCCCTATGTGCGATTTGTTAATTAATACATCAAGTTTCATGACCTACATTGTTAATCCAAGTGAACATCTAGCTTCATGACCTATGTGCGATTCATTAATCCAAGTGTACATCTAGTTTCATGACCTATGTGCGATTTGTTAATCCAAGTGTACATCTAGCTTCATGCTTCAAGTGTACAAGCTTGTGCGATTCATTAACAAGTGTACTAGTTTCATGACCTGTGCAAGTGTAACATCTAGCTTCATTTCATTAATCCAAGTGTACATCTAGTTTCATGACCTATGTGCGATTCATTAATCCAAGTGTACATCTAGCTTCATGCCTTATATGCGATTTGTTAATCCAAGTGTACATCTAGTTTCATCATGACCTATGTGCGATTCATTAATCCAAGTGTACATCTAGTTTCATGACCCGATTTGTTATGTGCGATTCATTAATCCAAGTGTACATCTAGCTTCATGCCCTATGTGCGATTCATTAATCCAAGTGTACATCTAGTTTCATGACCTATGTGCGATTTCATTAATCAAGTGTACATCTAGCTTCATGACCTATGTGCGATTCATTAATCCAAGTGTACATCTAGTTTCATGACCTATGTGTGAATTCTATTAATCGATTTGTTAATCCAAGTGTTCATCTAGCTTCATCTAGAACATCAGCTTCATGCCCTATGTGCGATTCATTAATCCAAGTGTACATCTAGTTTCATGACCTATGTGCGATTTGTTAATCCAAGTGAACATCTAGCTTCATGCCCTATGTGCGATTTGTTAATCCAAGTGAACATCTAGCTTCATGACCTATGTGCGATTCATTAATCCAAGTGTACATCTAGTTTCATGACGTATGTGCGATTTGTTAATCCAAGTGTACATCTAGCTTCATGACCTATGTGCGATTTGTTAATCCAAGTGTACATCTAGTTTCATGACCTATATGCGATTTGTTAATCCAAGTGAACATCTAGTTTCATGACCTATGTGCGATTTGTTAATCCAAGTGTACATCTAGCTTCATGACCTGTCTGCGATTCATTAATCCAAGTGTACATCTAGCTTCATGCCCTATGTGCGATTTGTTAATCCAAGTGTACATCTAGCTTCATGCCCTATGTGTGATTTGTTAATCCAAGTGTACGTCAAACTTCATGTGCTATGTGCGGTTTGTTAATCTAAGTGTACATCTAGCTTCATGACCTATGAGCGATTCATTAATCCAAGTGTACGTCAAGCTGACCTATATTTTTTGTTAATCATACTGCACGTCTGTCTTCATCCGCTAATCCGCGTGATTCTTGTTATGTATTACCTGTTGTTGTTCATGTTAATCCGTTGCTTATCACAACATATCACGTATATATACACCTCTATACTTGCACGTAGCCGCTCTAATTTAATAACTGGTTAAGAATCTACCTCGAAACGCAGCTATAAACTTGTACGCTTTTCTATTTGAGTTCATACGTTCCGTTCTCGTCAGCTTAATAGTTTTGCACAAGAGGCCAAAAGTCCTAAATGAAACTTTTCATTTCAACATTAGGTACCTATGATGCCCTAAGATTTTACGTTATCTGAAACTAAATCAAATCAAGTGCACGAAACATTATCACGTTTAATGAAATGTACTCCCGCCACATTTTTGTACCATGTATTCATGACTTATTTTCAGATCTTGTGTAACACATCATATGTATTGAACATGACGAAACTCACACACTGTCTGCCTAAATAAAATACTCAGTCTGTGAACAATATCGAATTTTACTGTATATATTTCTATCCTGGTAGAACAAGACGTTAGAAATAACTGACCTAAATTCTCAATTTCTAGCCAAAGGATCTAAAAATTGACGGTCAAAATCGACCAGGCCGAGCTGTAATCTGTTCAAACATCTATTTCAGGGAAGATGATTTTTGGCCAGGTATTGGATGCATGGCCGTCTCCTTCACTTTAGCTTGCGACACAGACCACGGGCGTTCAATACAAGAAACATGCCAACAAGGATGCTGTGTGCGTGTTTCTTCTGTAGAACAAGGAACTATCGCTATCCTTGGCTCCTGTCCAAGAGATCGGCCTGTTGCTGCCTTGCTGAAGGTGTGGAGATTGTGTTGACATGTTTACCTGCATTGTGTCGTGACAGGGAATGCCTGGAAAGAAAGACGTGAATAGGCTTAGCAAAATGATACATGTCTTTAAAAATCGTAGTTTTGTCTCGCGTCCAGAAGATTGATAGACGGTCGAAAGTTTCAAAGTAGGCATTTGATTTACGTATGAAATATAACTTAAATGAATGTGTTTTCTTTTCAAGACTGGCTAAGACTAGTTATGCTGGCACCGAGATGAACGCGTAAGCAATTTCCAGTTGTTTAAAGTCGAACACAGAAATTGTTTGGGTAGGTCTTGCATCAGGTCTTCTTTCGTCCCACCAGTTTAGATTTGATATTTCCTCACCCGGATATGACCAACGAGAAGAATATCCTGCTAACTTACATCACAAATAGTTTGGGTACAACGTAACCTGTACATCTCCTGATAGAGTGAGTGAGAGAGTGAGAGTATGGTTTTACGCCGCTTTGAGCAATATTCCAGCAATATCACGGCGGGGACACCAGAAATGGGCTTCACACATTGTACCCATGTGGGGAAACGAACCCGGGTCTTTGGCGTCACGATCGAACGCTTTAACCACTAGGCTACCCCACCGCCCCTCTGCTGATAGACATTGTGGAACATTGGTGATAGATAATAATAGTGTGTATATTTGTAGTGCGCCAAATCCACGCCCTGCAGCAGGCACAAATCGCTAGAGTATAAAATAATATTAGACTTCAATATTTGGTGCACCCTGCAAAACATTACAACCCACCACAATCCTGACACTGCTTATCCGGAAACACGTTTACGTCAGTGCAACAGGTAGAAACGCTTACACAAGCTTTGACACCTGGTGTTATGGCTGCACTTCAGTAGTCCATGTATATACTTTCTATGAACGTATTGTCTTTTAGGCCAAATGAAATGTATTTCGGGGAATAATCGAGACTAATTATTATCAGACCTTAATTTCGGCTATCTAAAAAAACCTGATATATTTCTTACCCGTGATTCGTTAATACGGACAATTTCTCGCGTACTGCTTGGATGGGTATTTATT